AAATATAGGAGTAGAACATGTTAGCCTATACCCTTATCTATTCCTTCTAGTTTAAAGTGTATGTAAAAACGAATAGTGTGTATGTATATAAAGGTAAAACCTCCTTAGATAGCAAAATGTTGCACTTTTCTCTCTTTTCAAACACCTCCCACTTGCTCAATTAACAGTATGCAGTTCATGTGTCTCTAGAGTCTCCTTGACAAGAAATAACCTTGAAAATGCAAAAGCATTTTAAATTAAAAGCAGGTACCAATGAGCTCAATAAACCAACAATTGCACAATTCTCACGAGAAATTTTTGAAGATAAAGAGAATATTGGAAAACAGTGGAAATGAAACCATACCAATCCATCCCTAGAGACAACTAAATTGCCTTATAAAAACCACAAGTATGTGGGCATAAAATAGTTTCTAAAAAGCAGGGAGATGAAGCCTTCTCCATTAATATAGGTGATACGGCAATTTCACATAATGTAGCAATAGGAACTGGATTTCTTTTTCCTTTTGCATGATTTACATTTATTTGTATGATTTATATTTTACTTTTCCTTCAAAGGTTCAAGGCAGCAAACATAGCATTGTCTCCAATTTTTCTTCATCACCTCCTTCCTTTGAGGAAGGTTTGCTGATAGTGAATGGGCCAAAGGCACCCACTGAACTTCAATGGACTTAAAGGATGGATTTGAATCTGAATCTCCCCAGGGCAGATCCAATACCAAAACCACTACCCTACATGGTCTCTCTTTTGATACGTATATATTTAAATGCAACTTGCTGGAATTTAAGATCATGGACTTCTTCTAAAAATAGCTCCAGATTTTTATTTGCAAACCTTTGAAGTCAAGACTAAAAGACAAATCTAACATTGTTGCAGAAGCAATTTATGCTTATGGTATTTGTGTCAACTTTAAATTGATTTGGGATTTTAATGCAATAATACAGACCAGTTGCCTTAGGTTTAGAATAAGGATACATTGTCAGAGCATATTGTTGGTATATACATTTTAACTGTGTTTTGTGGAATAAGTCATACTTGGCTAAGTCTACAAACCATGCTAAGCCATGTTGGCCCAAAATACAAGGCAAAACTAATGAAAAACAACTCATCAGCAGGATTGTTAACCCCCTCTGAAAGCGATTTAAGATGAACAAGTTAGCTACAAAAAAGTAGTAGCAATTATTGTAATAACATAATTATATCAAGGTTACCCATTTTTATTGTTTTTATTTTTATACTTTGTACTTTAATTCCCCATTATTTTTTAAGAATGCATTTTTGAGCTTAGAAAGGATGAGGTTTGTACTTTGTTTTGGAGCATGCTAACTTTCAACTAAATTAAAATAAATACATTTACATAAATAAATCTCAGAGAGCATCAAGGACTCCACAGTTCAATCCTGAGCTCCAAGGATTGAACTTAGTTAAATAAAATCAGATGGGTACCAGGAACTGTTGTCAAGCATACATCCACCCTGGGATGCCATGTGGGAGATCCAAATTGTAATCAATGTCTGTGTGGCTCCAGACATGTGATGTCAGACTGAGGTTTGCTTGATTTTCCTTTAAGGGGTTGACGTTTTTTAAGCAGTCTTCTGCCCTGGGGTTTCTAAATATGGTTTATAGTTTAGCACATGCTAATGTAGATACTGCAATTTATTAAACCTTAGTTGAGTGAAACCATAGCTTAGCATTGTATGAACTCAACCTATTACAATTAGGAAGGGGAATGAAAAAACAGTACATTTTCTCTGGTGTTTCAATGGTCCTTGCTCCAAAACTTTTTTTTTCCTGAAAGTTAAATGGAGAAGTGTGGTGTAGGAAGTGAAGCTAAATAAAACTCACCCAAGTAATTATGCATCATGTAAAGAGGCTTTGCAACAATACATTGGTGCAAGAACTAGATTGTCTTCAGGGGACTATGGCATGAGAGAACTGCAAGAAGTTAGTGAATTCCTTTTTGTTGCTCTTCATTCTACATCAAGTGAAAAAAAGACCCCACAACTGGTTATTGTTTGCTGGAAAAGGAAAAAAGCGGGCCATCCTGCTTTTTCCTTATTACCTTAATGATCCAGCCACTCTGTCCCTGCATACTGGCAACTTAAAAGCTGATGCAAATCATGGAAGCCCGAAGAACTTCAAATTAATTATTTGCAATGCCAACTCGTGCAAGGTAGCTCCGGAGGCCAAGGAGAGGCAGTTTGGGTACCCAGGGGGGAGGCCATGAGAAATACAGGCAGTCCTCGACTTACAACAGTTTATTTAGTAGTGAGCATTCAAAGTTACAATTGTCACTGAAAAAAGTGACTGATGACCGTTTTTCACACATTTCAGCATTCCCCATGGTCACATGATCAAAATTCAGATGCTTGGCAACTGACTCATATTTATGACAGTTGCAATGTCCCAAGGTCATGTAATTCCCTTTTGCAACCTTCCGACAAGCAAAGTCAATGGGGAAACCAGTTTCACTTCACTTTACTAATTTACCAACCGCAGCGATTCACTTAACTGCGGCAAGAAAAGTCGCCAAATGGAGCCAAACTCCACTTAACAAATGTTTCACTTAGCACCAGAAACATTGACCTCAGGTGTGGCCGTAAGTCGCGGACTACCGGTACCTCGATTTGAGCGGCCGCTGGAAGCGCGGCTTCCGCTCCTGAAGCAATAGGGGGTGCCATTGCGCCACGGTAGCAGCGTCTCCGCTTTCCGCAACCCTCGGTCTATGGGGCTGAACGGCGCCGGGAGCCTCGGAGCGCGGAGCTGGCGAGCGTCTGCTCCTTATTCGTCTTGTGCCGCAGCCACCCGACCGCCGCGGCGCACTGGCTGGCGACCGTTCCCGCCGAGATTGTTCTGAGCTCGGATGGCACTTGTCCAATGATAGCTCGGGGAGGGGGGCGGACGAGCTATCGGCTCTTGAGCACCGCACTGACATCAGCGCAGATAAGCACACAAAGCTACGGAGGCAGCAGCCCTTTTCAGAGCCCTTTCTCTCCCCCCCATGCAATCTTGCAGGCTCGGTGCACTCCAGCGCCGCTGCAGAGATCGAAGCCCCCCCTTTCGTTAACGCGTCTCCCCCCCCCCGACCCCACCAAAAGCTCCCCTACGAGGTGGCTCTGCAGCCACCCAGGTCTTGTCAATCCATCTAGAGTGGGCCTCTCCCCCGCCTAGCATGCCCGCAGGAATGACGCTTGTGGTCACCATCTGCGGATGTTAAACTCGTTTGCTCGGCATTGTTTGTAAGGTTGCACCTGCTGGCTCCTAACAAAATCTTGCTTTTTTTTTTTTTGTCCAAAAGATAAAAAAGCTGACCCAGACATTTTGCTGGAGTTATTCGGCAACCATATTTGCAAAAGGCCCCGTTTCATTAAGCAACATCCCTCAAAGGGATGCATCGCTGGACGCAAATTCAATCTCAGCCTGCACAAAGCCTTGTCACCCTCAACTCTCCCTTCGTGAAAAGAGCCGGGGAGGATCGCGCGGGGCGGAGGGACGGGCAGAGAAAGGCCCGACGCCGCTTAGAAAACGGGGGTGGGGGGGAACGGGAAGCGACCCCCCCGCTTCGTCCAGCGCGCGTCACGTGACCCCACAGGGAATTAGCCCGTCATAGCGATGAGGCAATTGCTTGCCGTATCCCTCCGCCACTAAGAACGTGCGTACGCTCCTCCCCTCCCTTTCCCTCTCCTCTTCCCCCCCCACCTCCGCTCCTCTTTGATCCCAATTCGGGCCAGGCCTTTCCCCTAAGAACGAGTCGGGCGCTTTCCGTGCAGGGTTTGAAGAAAAAGGAGGAACCGAAGAGAGAGGGAGCTGTCCGAGAAGCAGCGAATCGGTCGGCGCGGTGGCCGAAGAGGCGGTGATGTGGCGGTGCAGGACTACTTTTTTTGTCAGCGGCGGCGGAAGGAGCTAAGAAGGGTGGAGTGGTTGCATACCCCCCCTCCGCCTGGGCTGTCTGTCTGTCTCTCTCTCTCTCTCCCCTCCTTTCGGTGCTGGGCTCCCTCTCCTCCCTCCCTCCCTCCCTCCCTCTCCTGCTTCCCTTCTCGCTTCGGAAGCTGCAGCCATGATGGTAGTTTGAAGCTCCTCAGGCGGTTGGCGCGGGGGACTCGGAGCCGGAGCCCCAACGGAGAGCGAGTACTTGAGCGGTGAGCGCAGGTGAAGCGGGGTCTGGCAAACAGCCGGCCGACCGGCGAGGCGGCCCCCAGCGGATCGCGGAAACTCGAACCACCGGCGGACGGAGCAGCATGACCCGCGGCTGCTGCCAGCCTCGCGCCCTCTTCAGGACCTGAGTTCGGCGGCGGCGGCGGAGGCGGTCTTGGTCCTGCGCGGCCGCCGCGCCGCTACCACCGCCACCGCTTGAGGCCCAGCCGCCTTCCCCGCGCTTTCTCCGAGGGGAGCCCGCCGGCCCGTCGCGTCGAACCATAGAGTCCCAGCCCCGAGCCGGCCGCCTTCCCTTGAATCCGAGGGGGCCCGCCCGCCCGCACCCCCACTTCGCGCGGGGTGCGGAGCGGGCCGGGGGAGGGGGGCTGACCGTCGCGGAACTGCAGCTGGAGCGCCGCTGCCTGACTGAGGGGGAAAAGGAACGGCTCGAAGGCGGCGGCGGCGGCGCTTCCTCTTTCTCGTCCCAAAGCCGCAGGAGCGCGATAGGGAGTCGGGGCTGCGTTTCTTCCTCGCCGCCGCCGCCGCCGCTCTCGGGACCTTGCTTGTCGCGGGGAGACACGCCAGTGGCGGAGCCTGCAGGAGGACCTTCCTCGCTCCAGCGTTCCGTCTCGGCCGCTGCTGCAGGGCCTTCCCGGGAGTCGCCGCTGGATCGATCGGGGGCAGGCCCTGTCCACGGTGCCGGCCTCCCCGCGCCGTCCTTGCCCGGCAGCCGCTTGGTCAGCAGCCGTCGGTCGTACCGGCGGCGGGGACTGTTCGGGGAGCAGCCTCCCCCGCCGAGGCTTCGAGCCATCTGCGCCCTGCAGCCGCCGCCGTGCCTCTCCGCGCTGTTTCTGAGCGGCTCCCGGCTCCCAGACATGACCGCCATCATCAAAGAAATTGTCAGCAGGAACAAAAGGCGATACCAGGAGGATGGCTTCGATTTAGATCTGACTTGTATCCCACAGCTTGTGGAGGCCGGGGACAGTTCCTGTTAAGAGGGTCCCCCTTTCTCACTCCTACACCCCGATTCCCCCAGGAAGCCTAGTGTCGCTGTTTCTTGTGTTTCCCGCCCCTTTCTCCATTAGGTGCCATATTTTTTTAGAAAAACGGCTGTGATTTCTGGCTTTTCCCTCCCTTTCTTTTCGTGCAGAAGCAAGAATCTGGCAGACATGGGCCTAGGTAGAGATGAAATGGAAGTGAGTCGTGCCCATTACAGCTGTTGCATCAGAAACTTAAAGGTGATACTCAGTATGCTCCTTGCAGTAGGTGTTGTGATCTGGAATAGTTATATGGATTATGGCAGTTACTTGTATTAAAGTTTTTCAGTTAACAGTGACAAAGAGCTGAGTAGTTCTATTGCGTTGGTCTTCTGGAAAAAGTTAATGTAGAAAGTCTGTCTATATTGCATCAGTTAGTTTAGTGGATTGGGAAAGTTGGCTGTGGGTGAAAAATCTGTTTAGTGGTGTTTTGGTGTAGCAATATAGCACTAGCACTTGGACTTATATACCGCTTCATAATGTTTTATAGCCCTCTCTAAGCTGTTTACAGAGTCAGCATATTGCCCCCAACAATCTGGGTCCTCATTTACCAACCTCAGAAAAGTGGAAGGCTGAGTCAACCTTGAGCCAGTGTGATTATATTTGTTTAAAAAGCAGGGTCAATACTGGATAATAAATGGTGATAAATATGCAACAAAAGATTGTTGTAAATATTAAAGGTAGTATTCAAATTTTTATACGATTGTGTGGTTGATTTTGACATAACTACATAGTAGATTAAGTACCCACAAATTTAAGTACCTAATGTTCTCCAGATAAGATTTTGAAAAATTGCTGTTTTACCTAAGTAACCTATCTGCCAAGGTGGTTTTGTTTAAGAAAGTGCTTCTAAATATATATAGTTATAGTAGACTACAATATTTGTGCATTCAAAGACATTTGGAATCATATATGCATGCAATATTCAGTCTTTGAATTTCCTAATGTACAATTTTGATGATTATAGAAGAAATTACTTTTCACTTTTATTACTTCTGTACAGGAGGTGTGGCCAATGTACTATGGATATTGGTTCTTGGTGTCAGCACACAATATTGTTTTAATTATAAAGAGATGATTATTATTTGTATTTTTAATAATAGTAGAAACTACAGCTACTAGAATTAGGAAGTTGGTCATTTGCATACTGCATCCAGTAATTTGAATTATGAGTATAAATGTTAAAGCATAGAGATGGTTCTTTTTCTAAAGCATAGAGTTGATTCTGAAAGACAATTTCGTCTTTCTGCAGAAATAGCTTTAGTAGGAGTACTGGTTGGTGGTATCTTGTATAATAGCATAGAAAACTTTGGAAATACTATCTTAATTGGGAGGTAAGGCTCCTTTTTGATTTAGCAGCATTTCATTAACACAACTTCAGCTAGAACACTGTATTTATGTTGCCATCCATTATTTGGTTGCAATTGTAGAATTATAGGAATCTACCTCAGTTTCAGTGAGGTCTTTGAGATGTCAGCAGCTATTGTGTATTCAGATTGTAGGCCCAAAATTTTATTCCAATTTGTTTAACCCTTTATCGTTTGCTTTTCTTTGTAAGTTAGGTACTACAATTAAAATACATATACATAAAACATGCATTTATTTAAGAAAACAGAACTGCATACAGTTTAAAATACATGTAGATTGACTGTTCCCATATATTTACAGTATAATATATGACAGTATAATTCTATTCATCTCTGTTGAGAAATAAATTCATTTGTTTGAAGTTGCTATATTTGGAATTTAGAAAGCTGCCTTACATTGAGTCATTTCATTGATTGATCTAGCTAAGCCAATTGATAGATATCAATTAACATTAGTTGGCAGCATCACTCCTGAGATTTAGGTAGAGGTTTTCACTGGCCTAGCTAAAGATATTAGGGACTGAAGTTAGAACATACTGCATCCATAGTGTACTGTCACTAAGGTTTGTTCAAATAAGCATGCACAGATTTCCACTGGAAAAAGGGAAGAATTATTTCTGTAAATGTGATAAAAATATCTTGCTAATAACATTAATTGATACATAAATGTGTTGTATTTCCAATTGAACTCCTTCTATTTTCTGCATTAGAATACTGTGAATCATTTTAGACTAGCAAAAAGTTTTCCACATAATCGTTCAACAATAGAATTATGGATTTGAGGTCACGTGAAAAATACTTGATAGATTTTTTTAAATTCTCTTTTGGCTTAGACCAGGGGTAGGCAACTGTGGCTCTTTTATGACTCGTGGACTTCAATTCCCAGAATTCCTGAGCCAGCTATGCTGGCTCAGGAATTCTGGGAGTTGAAGTCCACGAGTCATAAAAGAGCCACGGTTGCCTACCCCTGGCTTAGACCATCCAGTCAGTATTCTCCTTCTGGAATTAGGGATGAGTTTCTCTTGAAAACGGTTTCGTATTTCTTATTATTTAGATGAAAAAAATGATATATTAATATTAAAATAAAGAGTTAAAATCAAGCCATATTCCATGTTAACTGCAGTATCATGTAAGTTGGTAATTAGAGTCCTGTAAAATGTAGAGAAACTCATCTGAAAGTAAATATGCTTTAGAATTGAACTGAAAACCTTCTCCATTTTAGTGGAATTTAGTCCTCTTTAATTTAGATCTTTATTTGTTTCTAGCATAATGAAATTGTCCTGTATGGTTGAGAAATTTTTTGTACATTTGAGTTGTCATAGTTAGCAGTGGTTTGTGTGTGTACATGGATATGTAAATGTCCATATAAAAAAGAGAGATTAAGATTTTAAAGTAATATATTTTTAAATGACCCATATATTACTGGTAGGGAAATTGACGTTTTATTGTTAGAATGGTACTTCTGTGTAATAATATTTATAGTGTGCTTGTGATTGCAGTGTAATAGGTTAAACCGAAAAAGTTTTTTAACACAATGAGTATTAGTTCTGAGAAGTGAGAGAAGTATTTTTCATTTTTCAGTTCATCTTTTACTGCAGCTCCTACAAACCTTGTTGATTAGTCATGTTGAATATGCTTAAAGCTTTAATTAAAAACTTCATTAGGCTATCTGACTGATATAAACCATAATGTGTGAATAAAAGTGAAAGTGCACATCTTCATATAAGATATGTGAATGTTCTTAACATGTAACTTTCAAGGAAATTATTTATAGATTTATATTTTAGCAGTACTATTTTGTTAATTCATACTTTAAGTGGGATATCATGAAATTTGGCATGCATTCTGGTGATAGATTAACCTTTCCATTCATGAAAAAAATGGATTCTTAGTTTCCTTAATGCTGTAAAACAGTATCCTATTAAGGTAAAAAAAATGGCTTTGTATTTAATAATTGCATTTGGAACATGCACAATAAAGTTGGGGAAACTAAACATGAAGTTAAAAATTAACACACTTGCTTATGTACACAATCCACAGTTAAATTATAGCTTTGCCCAATTGGAACAGTAAAAGTTGCAGTATAAGCAAGTAACCAGATGTTGTGTTTTAATAAATAGAGTAAGGTATGAATTAATTTCAGTATAAAAAGACAGGATGAAATTGACCTCTTCCCTCAGATATTTATGAATGTGTATATAAAGCTGTGTTAGTTGTTGTCAATGTTGGCTGTGAAGAATGAGATGACCCATTTATACCTATGATAGTGTTCTCTAAACTAAAGTCTATATTGCCTTGTATTGTACACCTTGGTGCCGAGGGCTCCTTAAGATCTTGAGCAGAGACAAGTCTTTTTTTTAAAGTTGGAAATATGAGTGCTTGTATTTGCAGAAGTGTGGGTGAGTGTGTATCCTGATTGCTTATATATTTATTTTTATAAGTGTAATTGAGTTTGCTCCATTATGGTGTATAGATAAAAAATATAAACTTACATATACAGATAAGGAGGGTTCATTTTGTTTAGAATAAAAAGTAAAGTCTCCTTTAAATCAAGTTCAGCTCCTGGGGACTTCAAGGACACATCCATATAGTATTCTTGACAACAACATGAACATGATTTGTCATTGTTTTATATTGTACAGTGCAAGATATTTTCAAAAAAAGTAAGCATATTGTGTAATTCTGGTGGGCAACGCTATTGTGTTTGGGTTGTGCACTGGTCGAGGCTTCGATGAATGGAGCAACAGTATAACAAACACTGGGGAGGAATTGTGTTTTGAGTATTTTTATAGTTCATGTGTTTTCAGCCCTCAGCATGGCAAGAAAATAGCAACAATTTTTGACAATTGTATGTTGAAATTTGATCCATGAATGGAGGAGTGCTTGGTATCTGCTGCTTGGTATATGTAGCAGCTCATATCATTTCTATCCATTGTTATCTTGGTTGTTAATTCTGGGTGTTTAGTTCAGAAACATTCCAAGATAGAAATAGACTTTTCAATGAAAATGAAATATTACAGTGACTGTTCAATTGTGTTTGTGTGTGTGTGAGTGTGTGTGTGTGTGTGTGTATTCTATCAGTAAATATGCTGGTGTTCTGTAGAAGCTTCTTTGGTGTCTAAATATTTAAACTAACTTTCTCCATAGTATCTGAAATAAAATAAATTGTAAATAGCAAATATAGTATGCCAAAAGTAAAATATTACATATCTATGTTACTTGAATTGACATCATTTCAAAAAATAATGATTTGGAAGTTGTTCTAGAGTAGACATTCAAGGTTTTAACCACTTTTTCCATCTACCTTTGAACAATTAGTCATGGATTGGTTGCAGTAAGATAAACATTGTTCAGTGATGCATTGATTTCAGAATTGTGGTCAAAAGAGTTCCATTAGAGATATGGCAGTGCTTTATTCGAGCTTTGTCCCAGCTTTTTGGAGGCTTGGGGAATCTTCTACATGGTTGCCCCACCAGCTGCTGGATAAGGAAATCACTACTACCCCTTCTTTTAGCAAGAAATCTCTGCTAAATCCCAATTCACTCAACTA